TGTCCATGGGTGGCGCCGGCGCCGGCGCGCGCGGGGCGTAGGAGGAGGAAAGGAGAGAGTGCGGCGCGAGCAGTCGAGTGTGTCGCGCGCTGTAGCAGGCGCCCGAAATACGCCACGCGGGATGGCGTTTCCGACAGCGCCCCCAACTCGATATAGCGCGCGCGCCGTTATTGCGCGCCCGCTGGAGCGACCCGCCGCGTTGTGCGCGCCCTAAAACCGACGAATTTGCGGCGCAGCGCTAGTTTAGCGCAGCTGTTGGAGATGCTCTTAGTAGTACAAGTACAATTTATTTAGAAAACCCAATCAATCACGAGATCGCATCGCCATCTGACGGACAATGACACCCGGGCCCCACCTCGGCCAAGTTTATCAGCAATCCCACGTGGCCAAGAACAGCCGCCGCATCCACCAATCCCTGCCCGATCCCATCACATCACCACAGCCCCAGACGAAACCCCGACAGAGATCGATCGACATCCGGCCGGAGCAACGCGGCGGCGACGGGGCTCCTCTCGGCGGCGGGCAACCGGCCACTGGTAATCCCGCCGCTTGATTTCGCAGCTCTTCTTGGATCCGTAGGCTCAAGATTTGATTTTGCAGTTCATCTTTCTGCTCGATTGTTTCGTACTATATCCTCGTGAATCTGAATCTGAATCCAATCCAATCCCCTGCCCGCCCACTGAATCCTCGTATTTTAATTAGTTTCTCGGCGTGCAGATTGGTTCGATCTTTTTGTCGGAGCCGATTGTCCGGACGGGCAGGCGAAAAGGGGATCCGCCGGCGGAGCGATAATCTAGGCTATCCGTCAGCCAGAAAAGGCCCAGGCTTTTAATCAGCGGCGGCGGCGGCGGCTGCTCTGCCAACGATGGACCCGCAGGTGGCGGTGCAGGGCGGGGACTGGGTGTCGGCGGTGACGCCGCTGCTGAAGCTGCTGTGCCTGACGGTGATCGGCCTCCTCCTGGCCCACCCGCGGGCGCAGGTGGTGCCCAAGGCCACCTTCAAGCTGCTCAGCAAGCTCGTCTTCGCGCTCTTCCTGCCCTGCCTCATCTTCGTGCACCTCGGCCAGTCCGTCACGCTCCACAACGTGCTCCACTGGTGGTTCATCCCCGTCAACGTCCTCATCGCCACCGCCGTCGGCTGCGCGCTCGGCTACGCCGTGGCGCTCGTCTGCCGCCCGCCGCCGCGCTTCTTCCGCTTCACCGTCATCATGACGGGCTTCGGCAACACGGGCAACCTCCCCATCGCCATCATCGGCTCCGTCTGCCACACCGCCGACCACCCCTTCGGCCCCGGCTGCCACCGCGAGGGCATCGCCTACGTCTCCTTCGCGCAGTGGGTCGCCGTCCTCCTCGTCTACACCCTCGTCTACCACATGATGGAGCCCCCCATGCAGTACTACGAGATTGTCGGCGAGGGCCACGAGATCGAGGAGGAGCCGCAGCTCAGCAACTTCAGCCGCCCCCTGCTCCACGAGGCCGAGTGGCCCGGGATGGCCGACAAGGAGACGGAGCACTCCAAGACGCCATTCATCGCCAGGATCTTCGCCAGCATCTCGGGCTCCTCGCAGAACACCTTCCCCGACATCGATTTCACCGAGGAGGGCGGGATCTCCGGCGCCGGGCCTAGCAGCCCCAAGTCGCTCCGGTGCCTTGCAGAGCCGAAAGTGGTCAGGAGGATGAGGGTGGTCGCCGAGAAGACTCCGATTCAGCACGTCCTTCAGCCGCCGACCATCGCCTCCTTGCTCGCCATCATCATCGGCATGGTCCCCGTGCTCAAGGCCTTCGTGTTTGGGGCTGATGCGCCGCTCTCCTTCTTCACCGACAGTTTGGAGATCCTCGCTGCTGCTGTGGTGCCCTCGGTGATGTTGATTCTGGGAGGCATGCTCGCAGAAGGCCCAAATGATAACGCACTGGGTATCCGGACCATCGTCGGTATAACCGTCGCAAGGCTCCTGATACTCCCGTGCATTGGCATCGGCATCGTGATGCTAGCAGACAGGTTGCATCTGCTCGTCGAGAACGACCACATGTACCGGTTTGTGCTCTCACTGCAATACTCCACCCCCAGTGCCATCCTGCTTGGAGCAATCGCAAGCCTGAGGGGTTACAGCGTTAAGGAAGCATCCGCGCTCCTCTTTTGGCAGCACATCTGTGCGGTGTTCTCTCTCTCCATCTACCTGGTCGTATATTTCAAGCTGTTGTCATACATCTGAAAGATGATTGCCTGCCTCGCAACACCGGGTTATAGCAGTCATCATGGAAGGTGATTCCCAAGAAAAGGAGTGCTTGAATGAATTCTCAGCCATGCCTCCTTATGGTTAAGAAGTGTATTCATAATTTGCTAGTGGTTTGTAATTTCTGTTACATTGTATTATTCGAGAACAGGAGATACGTTTTTTGTCGTTAATTATTGTCGATATATTATTGCTGGTGTACATGTTTTTGATCTTATTGCAATATCGCACTTATTGGCTGCCATTGCCAGTTTGTAGAGCAGCACAAGTTGCCAATACATTTTTTGCCTGATTAGGTATAAATCTCTGGTGTTCAACAGCAGTGTGATACATTTGAGCAGAATCTAAATTTCTGTCAAATAACTCAATGTGATAATGGTTAGATGTCTTGTGAGAGGGTGAAAAATACACCTTGAAGTAATTAGTTTAAATTGTGTCCATTATACATATACAAAGTGTATGTATGGATGAAACAACAATTGCTGATAATAAATTCCTGGAGAGATCTGGAGCACAGAGCAAAGACAACGAGACATGCCAGAGTGGTGAAAAGTGAGCCAATAAAGAACCACAAATAGGGCAAAACTTTAATTTTTCTTGAGGTAAATAAAGGTGCTCAGCAACTCCATGCAACTTTCCAGTTTCTACTTGCAAGGGGAAGAACAAAAAGGCATGGCACTAACATATGCATCACTGTCATCAACTGAATTGAGTGGCCACTTTTGATTTTCTTTCTGCAGGTCTGGGCTGGCCACTTTATCCTCAGATCCAGACATGCCGTTGAAATACAATCCAGACATTGCTTTCAGGTTGGATTGCTGACTGGAAAGGTGAGTCCCAAGCCACTGTGTGCACCAGCATTGCCAGTATTCTTTCCATGGATGCAGAGAGTGGAGTAGCAAAAACAACTCATTAGCTTTCCTTGTTTACTCGCTAACCTATCGTCGACGATCTTGGAGAATGGTGACCAGGTTTTCCAGAAGGGCGAGATTGTGCGATTCGCGAGCTTCCACGGGCGGTATCTTGCTGTTTCGGTGGAGAAGTTAATTTCCGCGCGAAGCGACGTGTCGCGCTCTGGCCATGTGGGAGACAAGTGTAAGTACAATTCATGCAATAACTTGATTAGTGAGCAAGCAAATGCTATTTAAGTTCAAGGTACCCCTTCAGATGCCAAGGTGGTGATATGCTTAGGACTTCTAGGAAACTGGGTTTTTCCTCAACTCATACAGCAACATAACTATATACTCTGAAACTCCTATTTCCCATTTTCGTCGGCGAAAACAATTCCTCGCACGGCACACGGGCCTGAAAATCCATGTTGTCTCTTTATGCATCCTCCTTTTGCCTTCTTTTCCCCTGCTCCTACTTTTGAGTCAGCAGCAACAAAGAAAAAATAATTATGTGGACAGAGAAGGCAGAGCCCTCGAGAGCCGTATATAAACCGACATCCGCGGCCGAGGAGGAGTTGTGATCCACCTCCAACCTCAAATTCCTCTGTGATCACTTGCTTGGATGTGCTGTGTCAGTTACAGCGACCCGTCTCCTCCTCTTCCCGCCGAGGAGAAGAGTAAAGAGGAGGAGCAGCGGTGCGGTGCGGCCATGGAGGTGGATGCAGAGGCCTCCTACAGCTATGGCTTCCTCCCTCCAGACAGGCACCAGCCCTATTATGCCCCACCTCCTCCTCCACCAGGTATGTTGTTCCTTGCTCACTGCTGAGAACACCCGCACGCCGTTTCGTTATGAGGCGACGCGTTGCCGTTTGGTCTCTGATCTGATCCTTGGTTTCTTTACGGTTCATTGGGTCCATTCATTCATGCTTGCTGCTCTTGAGAAAAACTTTTTTCTCCGCGGTTACTACTGTCCTGTGACAGGTTCTTGCATTTCATTTCCTGTTTATCAGGATTGCTGCTATACTTGCCCTTGAATCTTTCCTAACCTTTTTTCAGATTCTGTTTTCTGTTACATCTGTTTTTGTGGTTGCTAGCAAAGAAATTCAGAAGCATTGTTTTTGGTCATGTCTTGATCAGATGTAGAAAGGAAAAGTGTTTTTTTTTATTTCTTGCTTTTAGTTTTCTTGGAATACAAGAGAATGATCTAAAGTCGGGTGCTTTAGTCATTGTAGCTCATGAAAAAGTTTCCACGTCGCTAGATTGAGAAGTTGACTGCACCTTTTAGCAAAAATCAAGACAGAAGGATCCGATTAGATCATGTTGGATTGGATTTGCATACAGCAGCACATGAGCTGATTTTTTGTTGTTGTTGTTGATGTTACTCAGAAGATGGTGAGCTGTGGGAGTACTTCCCTTGCCCGTTCTGCTACATCGAGGTCGAAATGCCCTTCATCTGCAGCCATCTGCAGGAGGAACACTGCTTTGACACCAGAAATGCTGTAAGAGAAATATCTCCCTTTCCCTTTTGCTGGAATTACTGCTATGCAAATTAACTTTGATTACATATTAATTTTGATCAAAACATAGCCTTAAGCTCATAAACTCTTCCTGCTGGAAATGCGTTTAAAAATGCTACTGTATGTTCTTTTATAAAATCCCAAGCTACTCCATTATATAGCTCCTGATACAATGAAACAGAGCTACCCGCGAAAAAAGCGAAACAGAGTAATTTTGTCTGTCCCTCCCTTTAATAGTGGCAAATGGCTTGATTGATTCTATGAAAAAAGAAATGCGGGTGTGATTGATTTTTATAATAACAGTTCGAAATCACGATTTCTCTGTTACGATGCCGACTCACTATTGGGTTTTACTTGATGATCTTCAGGTTTGCCCGATATGCGCTGAGAATCTAGGCAAGGACATGTCTGCGCATTTCAGATTTCAGCACTCCCATCTTCTCAAGGTACTATATCTATATCTATATATCCCTCCTACGTGAGAATCGGCGCCATCCCGGCACGAAAAACTCATCATCATTCATCATCTGATCATGGCAGAGGAGGAAGCCTTCGAGGCCCAGCAGCTCACCATGGCCAGCAGCGGCAGCACCACCTGCATATGATGTGAACCCCTACATGATGAGCAGCAGGCCATGCCAGGACCCTGAGCCTGACCCACTGCTCTCCCAGTTCATCTGCCGCGGCAGCGACAACCAAACCGAAACCGAGCCAGGATCGCGCGACGGAGGAAGCCACCGCCACCGCCCGAGCAGCGCTCATCCGACGGCGGGTGTCCAGAGGTGAGGAAGATGATGGTCGCCTGTTTTTTCAGAGATTTACAATGGCTAAGCTGAGCAATGGTGGTGCCTTTTGATTTTCAGGCCTGTGAGCCGGCTGGAGCTGGAGGAGAGGCTGCAGAGGATAGAGTTCCTCAGCGGGATCATCACATCAACCATTCTTTAGTTAATTATAAGCTCTAATTGTGTTGATGTCTAGGGTTTCTTGAGCAGTTTTAAGCCTGTGTTTTATGGTCCAGATGTACTATATATAACCTTTGCTATCTATAACTATCAATACAACAACATTTGCATACTTTGCAGTTATTTTCTTGTTGTTAATTTACTTTTTCATCAAATTAAATTAACATGAACATCAATCAGTGTTCCATTGAGATTTTCCTGAACCGATTTTCATTTGCTTGCGACGTCAAGTAATTTCAGTTCAAAATACAACTCGAGGAAACGAATAGTAAAATAACCGGACCGGAGTAAAATGGGCGAAGCATATGCACAGCAAAAAGGGAGGAAGCACACAGAGCAGAAAAGGGAGGTAACAAAATTAACCTGGTATGGTATGATATCTGTGTATGCTCTACACGTATCATCAATATCATCACCATTCACCTAAGCTCACTACAATAAGGGCTCTAGAGATGACAAAAAAGGGGGGAGGGAGGATTAACAGCGGCGACGTATACGACGGCCTAGTGGACAAATGTTACGTTGGGAGGGGTAACGCCCATCATCTCGTAATACGCCTTGTCGGCCTCCGCGATCCTCGTCTGGAAGATCCCCCACTCTTTTCGGCAGCGCTCCCGCACCCCTTCCCATGGCGCCTTCCCGTTCTCCGCCTGTCCCTGCGAGTTTTCGATAGCAGGAATGAGTTTGGTAGTAAGTGCTAGGTTTTGCTGTTCTATGATGGGCCTGGTGCTCAAAAGATATGCTTTTATGGTTCTTCTTACCTGGTTCCCAAGAGAAGGAACCACTTGGTGTACGATCCACTGGGAGTCGACGACACCGATTTTCTCATGAGCAGGCTGCTAAGAGTAAATACGTTAATCGTAGATATAGAGATAAGATGTTCGAGAGCTATTTAAATGATTATAGTGTTAGGAGTGGACGTAGTCAGAAATATATCAATGTTTTGACAAGGGCATGTGGTTCATACCTCCACACATTTCCTCAGAGCAAAATCCAGACCCCATCCATGAACCAAGTCATTCTGCAACAAAAAGGGGATGTTAACCACATGAGGTGCAAATGTAATAAGAAATTAGATGGTGGAAATATGCTATACCTGAATCATATGCCATACACATCTCCATGCATCTCTGGAGAAGACCGGAGCCATAATTTCAACAAAACTGCACATCAAACATATACAGTTAGGCCCTTTTCCACGTATATCAGCAACCAAAGTAACACAAGTCAGCTGCGGAGGGCAAAATACATACGCAGCGCATGGTGGAAGATGAGGATCCGTGCACCAGCCTGGCCTCTCCTCAGTATCCCTGTTAAAACGAAACCACCAACCAGGTAGGTATGAGATGAAAGGTAAGGAAAAAAAATTGTGTATCTCAGACGGGCAGACGATAGTTATTCCACTTACTTGTGGACCTCACGATCCCCTCTTCTTTTGGTCATCTGCCATGTTAATCCCTTATCTGGCTCCAAACCAGGTTGTGAGATTTCCAGCTGATATTTCTTGACAAGTTTGATATACCTACAATGTAAATCATGTTAGCAAGTCACCTAACTCTCCAACAGAACAACGAGTTATGCTAAGTGAAGACTGAAAGCATACTCCTCTCCATTGAAATGATCGACTCCAAGGTCTTCATCCCAGATAAATATGTACTCATAAGGTGCCACGATATCAGGATGCAAGAATCTTTTAGCATACCACCTAGAGGTGAAGAAATTAGTCAACTTCTAGATTCGCCGTTCAGATTACAAATTTAAGAAAATACAAAAGCATCAGGGCGTACCATTTCGCTTGTTTCAGAACACTAACATGAATCGCTCGTTTTGACCACTCAAATTCCTCCCATTCAGTCACATGGCCATCATAGTGAAATAACAGGATAGCAAAGTCATCAGAAAACTGCAAGAACCAAGAGCTCAAACAATTAGGCAGATAACCAAGTTACAATATCACTGTATTTGTAAATTAATGGGTAAAAAGTAAAGATAACACGACAAAACAGTGCCCTGTACCAGACAAGAAACAGTGAAAGTAAAAAGGGTAACCTGGTACACTCAGATAATTGATATATTATAAATGTCAAAAAATTACCTTCTGGACTGCTCTATTTATGTTGTCCTTCTGTGCAATTCCAACAGTAAAAGTAACAAGGTACTTTGGCTTGAAGGGTAGGTCCTGCAAATTCAAAGTCAAGCAAATTTTGTGAGGGTTAACTCAAACACTGAGGATAACTTTGATGCACCATAAATGCCGGTGTGCAGAGATTCAGATTTACATTTATAAACTTTATGAAACATGAAAGCTAAAAATGCAAATTGGCTTAAAATCAGCAAAGAAATGCAGGACATACCACAGGTCAGAACATTATATGGAATTCACAGGAGCACAAAAAACGTCAGTGCACAACAGTGCGCAAGAACAATCACTTCGAAATTATGTGACAACAATAGACAAGCATAACAATGTAATATCAGATGACAGGAGCAAACATATGCTGATTATTTGAGAGCAATGTGATAAGCAGAATACAGCATAGTCAGCTTTTTGAGGTGGAATATTATAGTACATGTAGTGGAGAAAGAAAGGAACACAATATTCTCTTTGAGGCGGAATACAGCATATAAGGTGGAAAAGAAAGAAGGAAAGGCATCCCTTGAGCTGAAATACATCCATCCAGGTGGATGGAGAAAAGAATAGCTACCTCAGCCGGGTCTCCCCATAGTCTGTGAGCATTGAAATCAGACTCTGATGCAATGATGCCAGGTGCTAGCATCTCCGCGCCCCTGGGGTTTGTTGGTACATATATCTATGATTGTCAAGAAAGATCAAGGTTAGATCAAATAGTTAGGATGTGAATTGTACGTATACTTTTAATAAAAGATGTAGAAACAGAGCTGGAGTAGAAGAACAAAGGCAGGTTACCTTCATGGTAGTGTTTGAACTAGATTCAGAAGTATTTCCCCTTGCGTTTCTAGCAGAAATCCAGGCATGGTTCAGTATAGCCTGAGCTGAGAGTCCAGAGTTCTTGTCCTCTATGTAGGAAACAATGCTAGAAGGGAAGTGAAGCTGCAAAGCATGTTCGAAAGAGTCAACTTTCTTGAGATGCGGTTTGCATCCATGCACTTACTGCAGCACTACGTTGATAATAGAGGCACGTGAATGTATACCTTTGTTATGCTGACTGTTGGGAAGGAGATCCCGATGAAGAAACCAAAGACCACCCCGATGATGGTCACGACGACAAGCCTCATGCTCTCGTTGGGTTTCTTACTATGCACACTGCAGGGGCACCAAGTTAAGGGTCAAGGAACAAGTTGGCATAATTAAAAACAGATAACCAAGAGAGAAAGGAAGGCATGTGAACCTGCGGCCAACTATCGGGAGTTTTGCCATCGCCTAGCACACCGGCGCGGGAACGGGCGATCGAGTCTTGCGAGCGGCAACTGCTACACATTGCTCGGCAAGCACATAATGATGACGCCAACCCGGAAGGCAGACCTGAAATACATATATACAGTGGATGTTATCAGGTGTCTGCGGTTATGAAACAACATATCGGCGCTAGATTTGAACCTCCTTTTTTAGCACGCACGTAGTATTTACTAGTCATTACTCGCTGCCAACTATACACGGTTCCCTAACTTTGATGCAGCAGTTAGTTACCGGTCGCTGAACAATTATACTACACGACTGACGCTTCCCTGATTTTGATGCGGCGGTTAGCCGGTTACTGGTTGGTTTCCTGATTTTGATGCAGCACTTGCTGGTTGGTTGGGCAGCCAGGATACATTAGCGTGCTGGTAAAGCTTGGAAATTTCATATGGCCATGCCCATGTGGGAAATTGGACTGCCGGATTCATTAAAAGATGTTCCGGCTCCGAACTGAACTTTTAACCTGGGAGTAGTGCTGCTGCTAGGACTAGTCACGCGAATCAATTCGTCCTGCTCCTGCCTAGTCAACCGACAGACGGAACAAAACGTAGGGGAAAAAAACCCGGCCTTTGGATGGTATGGTATGAAGAACCAATCTATCTATCTAGCACCAGGGCTCTAGCGATGATAATGAATCGGAGAGGGGAAGCTGATCGAGTGAATCGAAGCATCCCCGCGCGAGGATCGGCGTACCTGCTGCAGCGCCGCGCGCGGAGGGCCGATCCGGCTCCGGCGCGTCCGGCGGCGTCCGGCGGCGGCGGAATCCGGCGCGGCTGCTGGCCGGGCCGGTCC